AGGGTTTCTGCTGAGAAATTTGCTATTAATCAGATAAGTTTTCCTTTATAGGTTGCTCAATGCTTTTGCCTCACAGTTAAGATTCTTTCCTTAATTTTGACTTTAGATAACCTAATGACTATGTGCCTGGGTGATGATCTTTTTGTGATGAATTTCCCGGGTGTTCTTAAAGCTTCTTGTTTTGGGGTGCCGCAATTTCTAGCAAGACCAGGAAAGTTTTCTTAGACTATTTCCTCAAACATGTTTCCTAATTTTCAGATTTCTCTTCCTCCTTGAGAACACCAATTATTCTTACATTTTGTCATTTAATGTAATCCCAAACTTCTTGGAGAATTTGTTTTATTTTTTTCTTTTCTTTTTTTTTTCTTATTTTTTTTTTTATTCTGTGTCTTGGTCAGATTGGGTTAATTTGAAAGCCTTGTCTTCAAGCTCTGAAGTTCTTTGTTATACTTGTGTGATTCTATTGTTGAGTCTTTTCAGTATATTTTGCATTTCTCTAAGTGTGTCCTTCATTTCAGGAAGTTGTGACTGTTTTTTTATTTATACATTTATTTCTCTGAAAAACATTGCTTTCATATCCTGTATCATGTTTTTGATTTCTTTAAGTTTGTATTCAGCTTTCTATGGTGCCTCGTTGAGTAGATTATCAACCTTCTGAATTCTTTTCTAGCAATTCAGAGATTACTTAGTTCAGATCCATAGCTGGTGAGCTACTGTAATCTTCTGGCAATGTGAAAGAAACTTGTTTTTTTTTCATATTAACAGAATTGGTTTTTTGATTCCTTGTCATTTGGGTAGACTATGTCAAAGAAAAGATCTGAACATCAAGCACTGCCATTTATATTCTTTTTGTCCCATGGGATTCTCCCTGGATGTGCTGCCTTGCCCCTTCCAGTAGAGATTTAGCTTACTAAGAGCTGGACTACAGTTATTATTTCTTTTCTGGGTCTAGCTTCCCAGCTAGACCAGATCTACTGGGCTTCAGACTGGTACTGGAGAGTGTCTGCAAAGAGTCTTGTGATGTGATCCATCTTCAGATCTCTAAGCCATGGGTTCCAGCAACTGGTCCAAGAGAGGTAGCAGGGGAGTGAGGTGGACTCTGTCAGGGACCTTGGTTGTAGTGTTGTTTAGTGCACTGGTTTTTGCAAACACTGGTTGTGCTGGCAGTAAAGTTGTCATATGGATGGACTTAGGACCTCTAGTTAGCCAGGAGGTCACAGGAAGTGAAGTTAGCTTTTTTTTTTTTTTTTTTTTTTTCAGGGCAGTTTTGTTCTTTTATAAGTTTCTGTAATGGTTTGTGTTTGTGGGTCTCCAGCCAGGATGTATTATTTTCAAGAGGACATCAGCTGTGGTAGTATAAGGAAGATACAAGTTTGCCACAGGGTCACCTGGATAAGTACTCAGGGTTCTCAGGTAGTGGGTTGGGCTATAGAGATTTCAAGAGATTATGCCTTTTGTCTTCAGCTACCCTGATAGGTAGAGAAAGACCATCAGATTGGGAGCAGGCTTACATGCGTCTGAGCTCAGACTCATTGGGCAGGACTTGCAGCATCCTCTGTGGGAGATGGGGGTGAATTTTTCAGGCCAATGGAATTATGTTCCCAGGGGGATTATGGCTGCCTCTGTGGCATCATACAGGTTACCAGGAAATTAGGAAAAAGCCAGCAGTGACAGGCCTTACCCAGCTCTCATGCAGCCAGAAAGGCCAGTCTCATTTCCATCATACTCCCCCAGCAACACCAAGTCTATATCCAGGCAGCTGATGAGCAAGGATTAGAACTTGCCCCAGGTTACAGACCTCTCTGCTGAGAAAGCAAGCAGGGCTTTCAGGATTTGCTACTCCCCACCACAGTTTCTGTGCTCATATCTGCACTTCCTGTTCTCTCCCCACCCCCAGATTTTACCCTAGAAAATTTATGTTCAGTCAAAATTATTACAAAGTTTAGCTGTAAGTTTTCTATTTCCTGGGGTCTTTCCTCAATTCCACTGGGAACCCTCCCAAAGGAACCCTGTGAGATAAAGTAAAAAATGGGGGCCCTGGGCTTCCTTGGGGGCCAGGAGTACCTACAGGGCTCTTCCTACTTCTACTTTTATATTTCACTTGGCTCTCTAAATTTGTTTTGTCTTTAGGTAAGGTTAAATCCTCCCATGATCTGAAGTTTCGGGCTCCTCAGTGAGAATCTGTGTTTGGAGGTGGACTTTCCCCCTCACACTTCAGGCACTCACAATTTTTTGGCTGTCTCTCGATGTTTGTAGCAGTGAGTCACTTTTTTCAAAGGGTCTGTGAAATGTTTTATTTATTTTGGTATGTTCCTGTGGTAGTTCTTAGAGTAAAAGTTCATAAGGTGAGTATTCACACACTGTTCTGTCCATCTGAGTGAAAGCTACAAGTTAGTCCTGCCTTCTATCCACCATTTTCCACCTGATGTGCCATTTTTGATGCCCAATTATGATGCTTGGAATGATTTGGTGTAGTCTCCCTGACTGGGCATTCATGTGGCCATGCATCTTGCACTCAACATGAATGGCCACTTGAAAAGTCTCCTGAGAAAGTCTAAAACCACATAGAGTCTGCTAGGATAAAACATTTTTTGGCAAATTATATTTAATCTGTTTACCCCAAAGCAAATAAAAATCTTTGAAGAGATTATTTAATGTGAAACAAGTTATAATAGCTAATAAATACTGGTTGGTTGAGGTTCTTGAAAGGACAACTAAACAAAAGATGAGGCAAAAACATCATGAGTCCAAAAGCTGAGTAATCAGGACATTCCATTCAAATAAGGTAATTATTAATGTTGCAAAAGCAGCAGTCAAATGGAAAGCAATTATAGTTACTTGCTTAAAGAATGTGAGTGATTTTAAAATGCCATAATAAATAGCAATTGGCAAAAAAATTATAGTCAGCTAGGTAGTCTGGGACTACCATACTACTCACCATGGCTGAAAGAAAACTGAAAAAAAATGAAGCAGACAAACTTCTCTCCAAGTTACAGCACCAGAAATGTTGATGGCTATTGTGAAATCTTGTTTCTTGTCTTCTTAGTTTAAAAGAATTCAAGGAAGAGACATACAGCAAAGAATATTCAGTATACAACAACGTATTGCAAAAGAGAAAAAATACTCTGAAAGTTAGTTGCAGAATAGTCAGCACAACTGAGAGACAATTCAGATTGGGTTGCTCATAAGGATGAGATAACAATGACTGGCATTAAGGAGATTCCTTTTATGGGAATCTTACATTATTGTTCATAAGAGGTAGAAAAGGGTATTGCTAGTAAACATGTTATAGGCAACATTTGGCTGCACATACAGAGTAGCTGTACATCCTTGTTCATACATCACATGTCTCGTTAGCATCTTAAATCTCTATCCAGGGGGTGATTTTACTATTGTAAAAGCAAAGCATCAGTCTGAGGACAGGTAAAATCAAAATGTGCCTGGGCTTCCCATGGGAGAACTTCCCTACTAGAGAGTGATTTTCTTGAATGAGCTTTACTACAATGCAAATGCTGGGGCTTATTGCATTGATGTTGTGTCACACAGGTTGTTGCATCCTGAGGACATGGTTACTTCCTTGCCTACCTATCTTGCCTCAATAAAAACAAAACAATATGTTTTGTGAGGACTTAAATAATAATATTTAAAAGCTAAAAAACATGTTTTATCAGCTCTTTTATTGCAGGAATAGCCATGACCTTAAATAGCTTCTGTTTGTTAGTTCACTAGAGTGGCTTTAACAAAGTACCACAGATAGGGTGGTTTAAAAAATATAAATTTATTTTAATGAATTGGATCATTGGGTTGTGGAAGCTGACAGTCTAAGATCTGGATATCAGTTGAGTTGATTTATTTTGAGGCCTATCTCCGTTTGTAGATGGTTGTCTTCTTTGTGTGTGATTACATGATCTTCCTCCTGTACCCCTCAGTGTCCTAATTTCCTCTTCTACAAGGACACCAGTTATTTTGGATTAGGGTCCACCTAACAACTCGTTTAACTTAATCACTTCTTTAAAGACTGTATCTTCTACAGAACTGAAGAATGGATAAGAACTCATCAACCAATTATCTGCTGCTTTCTGGCTACTCATCTAACACATAAACACTAACATAAACTTAAAGTAAAGGGATGGAAAAAGGCAAACAGACACCAAAACTAAGCAGTGGTAGCTATTCTTATATCAGACCAAACAAACTTTAAGGCAACAGCAGTTAAAAGAGATGAAGAAATACATTATATAATGGTAAAAAACATTGTCTAACAGGAAACTATCATAATCCCAAACATATATGCACCTAACACTGGAGCTCCCAAATTTACAAAACTATTACTATTAGAATTAAGAAATGAGATAGGCAGTAACATAATAATAGTGTGGGATTTCAATACTCCACTGATAGCACTAGACAGGTCATCAAGAGAGAAAGTCAACAAATAATTAATTATTTTAAATTATACCTTGGAACAAATGAACCTAACAGATATATTAGGAACATTCCATCCAACAACCACAGAATACACATTCTATTCAACAGTACATAGAACTTTCTTCAAGATAGACCATATTATAGGCCATAAAATGAGCCTCAATAAATTTAAGAAAATTGAAATAATACCACTGTCTCAGACCACAGTGGAATAAAATGAAAAATCAACTCCAAAAGGAACCTCAAAACTATGCAAATATATGGAAATTAAATAACCTGCTCCTGAATGAGCATTGTGTTAAAAATTATATAAAGATACAAATTTAAAAATTATTCAAACTGAACGACAATAATGACACAACGTATCAAAACCTGTGGGATACAACAAAGGTAGTGTTAAGAGGAAAGTTCATAGCCCTAAACACCAACATCAAAAAGACTGAAAGAGCACAAACTGAAATTCTTTTTTTTTTTTTTTTTTTTTCTGCTCCAGTCAACCAAAGGGACACTTTATTGAGGCTTCAGGGCCATGGGTCCTGGGCAGGAGGCTGCCCTTCCAGGAAGGAAGAGGCTTATTTGACCTTCTTCTTGGGGCACAGGTTGTTGGTGTGGCCACACTTCTTCTTGCGGCAGTTGACAGCACGGGGGTGCAAGCGAGCATAGCACTTGTGGCAGATCATCTTGTCACAGTTGTATTTCTGGGCAAGCTGGCAGAAGGAAGGCTTAATAATGCCACCTCGCAGGTGCAGCACCCAGTGCAGGGTGGACTCTTTCTGGATGTTGTAGTCTGAGAGTGTGCGGCCATCCTCCAGCTGTTTACCAGCAAATATCAGAGGCTGCTGATCAGATGGGATACCCTCCTTGTCTTGAATTTTGGCTTTGACATTCTCAATGGTGTCACTGGGCTCGACCTTAAGGGTGATGGTCTTGCCCGTGAGGGTCTTCACAAAGATCTGCGTCTCTGCGTCTGCAACTTGGCAGCCTCGCTGAAGAAAAAGAGACAAACTGAAATTCTAAGGTCACACCTAAAGGAACTGGAGAAACAAGAAAAAATTAAACCCGAAGTCCGCAGAAGAAAGAAAATAACAAAGATCAGAGCAGAACTAAGTAAAAGTAAAACAACAAAAAAGCAATAGGTAAATGAAATGAAAAGCTGGTTCTTTGAACAGATAAATAAAATTGATAGATCATTAGCAAGATTAACCAAGAATAGCGAAAATCCAAACAACCTCATTAAGAAACAAAATAGAGATATTATAACTGACACCATTGAAATACAAAATATATTTCAAGGATACTTTAAACACCTTTATATGCAAGAACTAAAAAACCTAGAAGAGATGGATGAATTCCTGGAAAAATATCACCCTCCTAGCTTAAATCAGGAAGAAATAGATAACCTGAACAGACTAATAACAAGCAGTGAGATTAAAATAGAAATTTAAGAATTACCAACAAAAAAAGTCCAGGACCAGATGGATTCACAGCATATATACTTTCAACACTATTCCAAAAGACAGAGAAAAAGAGAATGCTCAATTCACTCTATGAAGCCGGCACCACTCTAATACCAAAAGCAGGAAAGGACTTAGACAGAAAAGGAAACTACAGACCAATATTCTTGATGAACATAAATGCTAAAATCCTTAATGAAATACTAGTTTACCGAATCCAACAACATATCAAAAAGATAATCTACCATGATCAAATGGGTTTCATACTAGGGAGCCAGGGATGGTTTAACATACACAAGTAAATAAATATGATATGCCACAGAAATAGAATTAAAAACAAAAATCACATAATCATCTCAATAGATGCAGAAAAAGGATTAGACAAAATTCATCATTGCCTTATGGTTAAAACTCTCAGCAAAATTGGCATTCAAGGACATACCTCAATGTAATAGAAGCCACCTATGACAAACACAAAGACAACATAATAATGAGTGAGGAAGAGTTGAAACATTCTCTTTGAAAACTGGAAAAAGACAAGGATTCCCACTCTCACTGCTCCTCTTCAATGTAGCATGGGAAGTTCTAGCCAGACCAATCAGACAAGAGAAAGAAATAAAGGTCATTCAAATTCGTAATAAGGAAGTCTAATTGTCACTGCTGATGTTATGATCACTTACCTCAAAAACCGTAAAGACACCTCCAGAAAGCTTCTAGAAATGTTGAAAAAATTATGCAAAGTTTCCGGCTACAAGACAAATTAACAGCTGTTCTATATATCAACAGTTACCAAGCAGAGAGTCAAATCAAGAATTCAACCCCTTTTTCCAATAGCTGCAAAAAATAAAATAAAATAACGAAATAAAATAAAATACTGAGAAATACACCTAACCAAGGAGGTAAAAGATCTCTACAATGAAAACTACAAAACACTGCTGAAAGAAATCATAGATGACACAAACAAATAGAAACACATCCCATGCTCACTGATGTGTAGAATCAATATTGTGAAAATGACCACACTGCCAAAAGCAATGCACAAATTCAGTGCAATCCTTATCAGAATATTACCATCATTCTTCACAGAATTAGAAAAAAAACAATTCTAAAATTCATATTAAACTAAAATAGATCCCTCGTAGCCAAAGCAAGACTAAACAAAAATAACCAATATGGAAGCATCACACTACCTGATTTCAAAGTGTACTATAAGCCATAGTCACAAAAACAGCATGATACTGGTGTAAAAATATGCACATATACCAATGGAACAGAATAGGAAACCCAGAAATAAACCCAATTACTTACAGCCAACTGATCTTCCACAAAGCAATCAAAAACATAATGTGGGGAAAGGATATCTTTTTCAACAAAAGGTGCTGGGATAATGGGGTAGCCACCTGTAAGAGAATGAACCTGGTTTCTCATCTCTCACCTTATACAAAAATTGGTTCGTGATGCATTAAGGACTTAAATCTAATACCTGAAATTATAAAACTTGTAGAAGACAACATTAGAAAAACTCTTGTAGACATTGGCTTAGGCAAGGATTTTATGACCAAGAACCAAAAAGCAAGTGAAATAAAAACAATTTTAAATAATTTGGATGTGATTAAACTAAATAACTTTTGCACAGCAAAAAGAACAGTTAGCAGAGTAAACAGACAACTCATAGAGTAGAATAAAATCTTCACAATTTCTGCATCTGACAAGGGACTAATATCCAGAATGTACAATGAACTCAAACAAATCAGTAAGAAAAAAACAAATAATCCCATCAAACAGTGGGCTAAGAACATTCATAGACAATTCTCAAAATAGGATTATAAAACAATTTTGTGAAGAGGCAAAGACTGAGCAGTTGTGGCCGCGTTGCTGACCTCAAGCAGATGTCTGCTTCTTGACATAGAACCTGGGACTAGGAGACTCAGAATCGAATCTCTTCTCCCTCCCCACTCCTGTGAGATTTTTTTGATCTTCAGCTACATTTCAGCTTTGTGAGAAACCTCAGCATCAAACACAATGGCCAGCGATGTTACCAACAAGACAGATCCTCACTCCATGAACTCCTGTGTGTTCACTGAGAATCTCAACACTCTTGTAGTCAAGAAATCTGATGTGGAGGCAATATTTTTGAAGTATGGGAAAATTGTGGGCTGCTCTGTTCATAAGGGCTTTGCCTTTGCTCAATATGTTAATGAGAGAAATGCTTGGGCTGCTGTAGCAGGAGAGGATGGCAGAATGATTGCTGGCCAGGTTTTAGATATTAACCTGGCTGCAGAGCCAAAAGTGAACTGAGGAAAAGCAGGTGTAAAATGATCTGCAGCGGAGATATATGGCTCCTCTTTTGACTTGGACTATGACTTTTGAAGGGATTATTATGATAGGATATACCCAGCACATGTTACCCAGCACGTGTACCTCCTCCCCCTATTGCTTAGGCTGTAGTGCCCTTGAAACGTCAGTGTGTATCAGGAAACACCTCATGAGGGGGCAAAAGTGGTTTCAATTCTAAGAGTAGACAGTGGGGATCTTCCATGTCTGGAAAGTTGAAAGGAGATGACCTTCAGGCCATTAAGAAGAGTTGACCCAGATAAAACAAAAAGTGGATTCTCTCCTGGAAAACCTGGAAAAAAGTGAAAATGAACAGAGCAAACAAGGAGTAGAGATGAAGAATGATAAGTCAGAAGAGGAGCAGAGCAGCAGCTCCTTGAAGAAAGATGAGATTAATGTGAAGATGGAGTCTGAGTGGGTTGCAGATGACTCTGCTGAGGAGGGGGCCCTACTAGATGAAGATGATAATGAAGATGGGGAATGATCAGCTGGAGCTGATCAACAACGGTGAAAAAGAGGCTGAGGAAGGAGAGGATGACAGGGACAGCATCAATGGTGAGGATGACTCTTAAGCACATAGTGGGGTTTAGAAATCTTATCCCATTATTTCTTTACCTAGGCACTTGTCTAAAATCAGATTTATTACCAGATCCTCTCCCCTAGTATCTTCAACACATGCTCACTGTTCTCCCCATCCTTGTCCTTCCCACATTCATTAATTCATATTTCCCTGTGCCTAGTCCCATTTTGACTTCCTTTGACTCTCCTAGTAGTTTTGTTAAGTCTTATCCTGCAATTTTTGCTTTTAATTTTGATACTTCTTTATGATTCAATAAAATGTATTTTTTTAAAAAAAAGATTATAAAATTGGCCAAGAAACATATAAAAAAATACTCAACATCACTAATGATGGGAGAAATGCTAATGAAAACCACAATGTGATACCACCTGATTCCTGCAAGAATGGTCATAATCAAAAAAATCAAAGAACAGTAAATGTTGGCTTGGATGTGGTGATCAAGAACACTTCTACACTGCTGGTGGGAATGTAAACTAGTACAGCCATTACGGAAAACAGTGTGGAGATTCCTTAAAGAACTAAAAGTAGAACTACCATTTGATTGAGCAATCTCACTCCTGCGTATCAAACCAGAATAAAAGACATCATTATTTGACTAAGATCCTTGCACAAGCATGTTTATAGCAGCGCAATTAGCAATTGCAAAGTTGTGGAACCAACACAAATACCTATCAATCAACAAGTGTATAGTGATGTGTGTGTGTGTGTGTGTGTGTGTGTGTGTGTGTTAGTGTGATGGAATACTACTCAGCCATAAGAAGAAAAGAATTAACAGCATTTGAAGCAAACTTGATGAGAATGGAGGCTATTATTCTAAGTAAAGTAACTCAAGAATGGAAAACCAAACATTGTGTGATCTCACTAACATGTGGAAACTAAGCTTTGAGGATGCAAAGAAATGAAAATGATACAATGGACTTTGGGGTTGATGGGAAGGGTCAGAGAGGATTGATGGATGAAAGACTACAAATAGAGTGTAGTGTATACTGCTCAGATGATGAGTGCACCAAAATCTCACAAATAACCAACTAAAGAAATTACTCATGTAACCAAATGACACCTGTACCCCAATAATTTATGGAAAATTTAAAATAAAAAAGCAACCAAGTAACCAACCAAACAATCAAACAAACAATAAGAACTCACCCCAGACCAATAAACTAGACTGTTAACGAATGGGTTCATCCTAGTGGATTCTACTGCACAAGCCAGCATTGATAACCACTGTCCCTTGCAATATTCTCCTATCTTCTTTGCTGAAGTGAATCACCTAGGGTGCTTGTTAAATGTACAGCTTCCAAGACTCTCTGGAGATTCTAATACCCATGTATCTGGTTGTAAGTCCAGGAATTTGTGTTTTTAACTAGTACAAGGCTTGATCTTGCCTGTAATAGTGAAATAAAAATAATCATCTTCCACTAATGTAAAAAAAAATAATAAAATAGAGACTGTATCTTTAAATACAATCACATTCTGAGGTACTGGGGGTTAGAGCTATAGAAACAAATTTTGGGGGACATAATTCAATGCATAAAATACAGATTGAGAACTTCTGGACCATCAAACAGTTAATGATTTTGAACAAATTATAATAGATATTTTTATGTTTTTCAGAAGATGTTGTTATTCACCCCCTTATCTATTTCTTTCAATCATACCTTTTTCATCTGAAGGAATTAGAGAGGTAGCTCAGAAAACAAGCAACGACGTCGATTTTGAAATTATGCAAAATACATTTTCATATTTGTCTTGTAGGATTTTTTTTTTTTAGGATTAAATGTTAAATGAGATAATGCATGTAAATCACTCCACACATTGTCTGGCACATAGAAGTTGCCTAACAAATTCTTTCTTCTTCTCATTGTGGATAGAGTTCTTTTCCCTTAGTTAGGTGTCACAGCTTGGTCCTGGCTCTAGTGGCTTCACTGTTAACTCAATTCCAGAGTAAAATTTAAGATCCGATCCTTACTATCCAGGTTGTCTTTGTCTCATCTTCTATCCTGAACATGGGCTATTTCTTGACTGTATATTTTATTTTATTTTGTTTTATTAGAATTTTAGTTACCTGCCCTGCACCTCATTTGATTATCGCCCCATTTACAGCACCCACTATTGGTCCTATTCATAGCCAAGCCTTTAATTATTGTCTTAAAGTGTTCCTTGCCCAGCTTGTCTATCCTTTTTTTGTTTGACTTTTTTTCCCCCGGAGTCTTGCTCTGTCACCCAGGCTGGAATGCAGTGGCGTGATCTCGGATCACTGCAACCTCCACCTCCTGGGTTCAAGTGATTCTTCTGCCTCAGCCTCCCGAGTAGCTGGAACCACAGGCGTGAGCCACCACAGCCAGCTAATTTTTGTATTTTTAGTAGAGACGAGGTTTCACCATATTGGTCAGGTTGGTCTCAAACTTCTGACCTCATAATCAGCCTGCCTTGGCCTCCTAAAGTGCTGGAATTACAGGCGTGAGCCACCGCGCTGGCCTGTAATACATCGCTGTTTTTTTTGGAGAGCATATTTCAGGATCATTCACTAGACACTCCTAAATAAATTAAATGTGCAATCATACTTTTATCTGCTCCCCTATGGTTTTACATCCCCAATCCATAAGCATATTTTCTGTTCTGTCCATAAACTTTCAGTGTGTATTCTCATTATTCTCTCATGATGTTTTGTATCTCCAGCATTCCTCTAACCTCTCGAATTCTAGAGATATGTGTTAACATGCAAACAGACTAATACAAACCATCAAATAACAACAAAACTTAGATTCAAAAGTCAGAAGCTTATACATAAATGCCAGATTTTTTATTGAATGTTCCAGAACTCGCTTCATGCTAGGTGGTATAACTTTGTGATACACTCCTTTTGAGGGCTTTGGATAAGTTGTAAGAGGCATTATTAATAATACTTAATAAAAATTAATATGACCACTGCTTGTTTTTGAAGATAAATTTTGTTTTGAAGATAAATTTTTGTTTTAAACAAATGAGTGTTGATATTTTTACACATCTCTATTTTGTTTATTTTTAAATTAGGTTCCTCACATCTCCACCCTGGAGTAGGCTGGTCAAAGTATGCAATTTCTCACAGTCTGGAGAAACACAGAGATTATATAATTTCTTTCTTATAAGCTACCTAAAGTAGTCAGATTCTCAGAGACAGAAAGTAAAATGATGATGCCAGGGGCTGGCAAGGGAGGTTTGAAGCACTGTTGTTTAAAAGGTATAAAGTTTTAGTTTGTCAAAGTTAAAAAAGTTCTGGAGATCGGGTGTGCAATGCTGTGAATATACTTAATACTACCAAAATATCCACTTAAAATTATTAAGATGGAAAATTTTATGTTGTGTATATTTTACCATAATGTTCCTCTCTTTCAGACTGTGATTTAAATTCTTTTTAATAAGGCCAGACGTGGTGGCTCACGTCTGTAATCCCAGCACTTTGGGAGGCCTAGGCAGGTGGATCACAAGATCAAAAGATCGAGACCATCCTGGTCAACATGGTGAAACCTCGTCTCTACAAAAAATACAAAAAAATTAACTGGGCATGGTGGTGCATGCCTGTAATCCCAGCTACTCAGGAGGCTGAGGCAGGAGAATTGCCTGAACCCAGGAGGCCGAGGTTGTGGGGAGCTGAGATCGCACCATTGCACTCCAGCCTGGGTAACAAGAGTGAAACTCCATCTCAAAAAAACAAAAACAAAAATAAAACAAAACAAAACAAAACAAAAACTAAATTTTTCTTAATACATATCAAGAAACTGAATTGCTAGGCCGGGTGCGGTGGCTCAAGCCTGTAATCCCAGCACTTTGGGAGGCCGAGGCGGGTGGATCACAAGGTCGAGAGATCGAGACCAACCTGGTCAACATGGTGAAACCCCGTCTCTACTAAAAATACAAAAAATTAGCCGGGCACGGTGGCACGTGCCTATAATCCCAGCTACTCAGGAGGCTGAGGCAGGAGAATTGCCTGAACCCAGGAGGCGGAGGTTGCGG